CCTGTTGCCTGTGAAGATTTAGGTCTCCTGGTGCCCAAAATTCACTGGACCGAGTTGTCCCGGATAGTGCTGCTGTTTGAAGAGCCAGGGCTTGGGTATTTGCTCATTGAGAAGGGTGGAAAGTACCTCGTGGCCACCCTTTGGTTGTAAGAGGTTCATAACTTGGCAGATCTAATAGCAAATGTCCCCAAAGTGAGGTTTAGGGGGCAAAAATGGGTCACCATGATCTTGCTTCAATGTCACCCCTGTGATGGGAACATCTCCTGCTCCTCGCTGTGCCCATCTCCTAGAGATGCCACTGGGTGTTTGGTGGGAGAAATGGGGTTGGGAATTGTCCTTAGGAGTAAAAGGAGTTGAGTTAGAGCTTGATTTGAGGAGCTGAATTCAAGCTTTGCTTCAGTGTTGTGTTTAAACCTGGGTGCACTTGAGGAGGAACATGAGGACGAGCAGAGGGCTCTGCACAAGAGCTTAAGCTTAAGCTGTCCCCTTAGGCTCTGCTCCTGGATTTGAAGTCACATGCTCCATATTCCCTTTGTTGTGTCTTTATCATGAAAACATGGAAATTTGGAAGGCTTCAGATTCCCCAGTGCAGGAACCTGTTGTGTGACCCACGTGTGCACAGCGACCATGTGGATACAGTGACTTTTGTATTCAAATCCAAGCCTGGAGCCTCTTAGTTCCACTCCCAAGCTCATGGAGATGACCTGAACTCCTCCTTGTGTTGCTCCCAGCCCTACATTATGCTTCCACGTGTTCTCTGAGAGTCTCTGTTGCAACCAGTTGAGTATTTATTCAACTCTCGCTTTGGGTTTGGCTTTGGAAAGCAGTTGAGTAAACAGGGAACAGGTTTGGGGAAGGGGGATGCCCAGTCAGTAGCTGGGAGGGTTTTAGCTGGATTTGAAGCCCAACTTGTCCCTGTGTCTCCTCAAATCCCTCGTGAGATGTGAGAGCTCGATGGGTGTTTGTGGCTGTGCTGAAGCTGTGGTTGCTGTTCCCAGGCTGGAGCAAAGAGCTGCCTTAAGGACACTGTTAGTCCCTTGCTCATGTTTTGCACCAATTCCTTAATGTACAGAGGGTTTTAAGCAACACTAAGGAGATAAAGGCCATTAGGAAGCTCTCATGAGGAGGATCTTACAGTGGTGACACCGCACCAGGCCTGGTTCCATCTCCCCTGGTGGCTCTATGTGCTCGTGCCCTGGGCTGATGTCTCAGCACAGCACCTGCAGGCAGCTCTCCACAAACAGCTTCCTGCTTCCTTCCTTTCCACATCCAGCCCTGCAAACGGCCAGCAGGTCCCTGCTGCTGTTGTAAGATGCCTCTGGAGCTGGTAAGAGCGAAGAACATAGGTAGATCCTTCACCAAATCCCTCTGGAGCGGGACAGGGAGAAACCCCTGTGTTGGGAGCACTTTGGGAGCTGTTTTCTGCTCTCGCTGTGGTTTGTGGCTTCTAACAGGGCTGCAACAAGGAAGTGAAGGTCCTGTGTGCTGGGAGGTTGATTTGGAGTGTGATGGTGCTCTCTGGTCACACCAAATGTCCCCATGGGGTGAAGTTCTCCCTTCCTGGAGCTGCTCAGAGGTGGGACATGAGGAAGAAAGGAGCAGTGTGTGGAAAGGGCTGTGGGTTTAACACACACTCGCTCTCTTTGTGGTCTCACACCTTTACCTGTTCCCTCCTGTGGCTTCCAAGTAAGTCCATAGTACCTAAACCAGCCTGAACTTGGCTGCTCCAGGCTCTGACAGAGACCCCACCATCGTCCTTAGCGCCTGTGCTGCCGGCACCCTTAGACAGCCAGTGGGGTCTTTGGTGTTGTTGGTATCTACATCCATTCCCTTTTACCCACAAGAGCAAACCCACCAGTTCCTGCTCTTCTGTAGGTCCAGAGCTTCCATCACCCCTTCTTGGTGATGATTTTAGACCCTGGATCAGTGTGATTCCCCCCTTGGGTGCCACATGCAACATCCTGCTGTGGAGAGAGGGGTCACCTCAGCTCTTGTCCACCCCAGGGCCGTGCCTGCTTTGGTCCTGAACACCTTAAACAGCTTCAAACCTTCCTCCCTGCTGCTTCCCTACGGGACACCCACCTCCCGAGCTGCCCACAGTGGGGCTGGCGTGTCCCCAGTGGGGCTGGTGTGTCCCCAGGGACCTCCGGGGTGCCTCTCCCTGCGTGTTGGGACGGGCGAAGCTGTGCCCTGCTGTTGCAGCCGCCTCCTCCGAGCCCAGCTTGGCTCCTTCCCGAGGCTGTTTGTGTATCTCCTGGCTCCAAAGCTCTTGGCAGCCACCTCGGAGACCACGTGGTGCTTCTTGGCAGGCGTTGGGAAGTGTTGGGCAATCGCATCCTCCCGCAGCTCTGCTCCCAGCCTGGCCTCACCTTGCTCAGCACCACCATCCTCCCTCCTTCTCCTGCGTTTCCCCCCCTCTCACCTCCTTCCCTGGCCCAGGGCTGCTGCTGGAGCTGGATCCCTCCTCCTGCACGGTCTGGGAATGGGAGCAAATGTCTTCTCTGGTTGACTTCCCTTCCCACACAGAGTCTTTCCTTCTGGACCACATCCAGGGGGTTTGGGAGAGGGTTGGCTGAAAGAACAAACGTAGAGAATGATTCTCCAGCATCATTCCCTATTGCTCCTATTGAGCCCCCACGTGAGGACTCAGGTATCTCCATGCCCAAGGCCCTGCCTTGAAGAGCATTTTCTTCCTTTCTTTTCAAGAGGAAAGCAAGATTCTTGGGATCTGAGTTGGAAAAGAGCTCCAGGGCTCCCCAACCCCAGCTCCTGACTCCACGCAGGGCAACCTAAAAGTGAGAGCCAGTATCTAAGGGTGTCCCCAAACTCTTCTTGAGCACTCACAGGCTTGGGGCCATCGCCTCATCCCCGGGGAGCTCCTTGACCACCTTCTCCATGAGGAATTCATTCCTAATGGACAATCTGAGCTTCCCTAAGGCAGCTTTAGGCCGTTCCCTCATGTCCTGTCACCTGAGAGAGGAGGCCAGCACCTCCCTCTCCATTCCCCAGCACAAGGAAGGAGGGGACAGCAGTGGTGACCCCTCAGTCTCCTGTAAGCTGACCACAAGCCCTCCACTGCTTCCACCTTCTCTCTTGGCCTCCTTTGGGCACGTTCTGCTCTTCTTATGCCCAAAGTGCCCCCAGGACTCAAGGTGAGGCCACACCAAGCCATGGGACAACCACGTCTTCCATCGGTTGCACTGCACTGAGCCTCATGCACCCCAAAAGTGGCCCTTTTGGCCATGAGGGCACATGGTGGACCCTCATTGAGCTTCCCATCAACCCAAAGCAGACCCAGCTCTGCAGGGCTACAATCCAGCCTCTCGGTCACGTATCTAAAGGTACGTCCCAGATGACACCATCCCAGGTGCATGTAATGCTTTGACTCGGTCATCTTAAAGGTCTTTTCCAACGTGGTTGAGTCTGTGACCCCCAGAGCCCCTTTGATTTCTTCTCCCACCTCTTCTTAGGCAGGTTGTGGGAGCCAGGCCTGGAGGAGCCGGTGGCATCGTGGTGCTGGGATGGAGCCAAGCCCAGCCTGAGCCTGGAGGACACCAGGAGGGGGGTCCAGGAAGAGAAGGTTCTTCCACAGGGCTGGAATGGGACATTTATTATAGATTTTAGAGGGTTTTGAGCCTTGTTTCTTCTTCAACACTTTGACTTGAGAGCAAAGACCTCGGCGCGGCCCCGATTCCAGCCTGACCTTTGCTTCCTCTGATTGCCCTTATGAAGACATCAAGATGCTTTGTGGACACGGCCTTTTGTCCTCCTCCTCCTTCCCATCCCATGGTGCCTGTTTTAACTGCAGGTGAATGTCACTTAGCAAACCTCTGGAGGTCCCTAGTGCCAGCAAAGCCAACCTCAAAGCCAGGTCAGGTCCCTCAGGGCCACGTCCTGTTGGGTTGGGGGTGGCACCAGGTCACTGTGTCGTGGGGACCCTCCTCCTGGTGCAGTCCTCGGGTCACACTCTCCTTTCTGATGTGCTCCCTCACAGCCTGACCTAC